TACCTGTTTGAAAATCTGGAAAACCCTATTCCAGGATTTGACTCCAGTGAGTCCCTGAGGGGTTGCCGGATTTTCAAATGTAGTGATGAGTTCTCTAGGGAATTCCTCGGCAAGTGCGTAGCTGAGCTCCGCAACGCCTGGGAGGGTTTGAAGTTCAAACTAATCCCTGCCGAGGAGGTACCTAGGAAACCCAGGGCCCAGATTTGGCTGCCGAAGATGGCTATGGGCAGCGGCAAGTTGATCCGCTTCCTTCAACAGCAGAATCCAGAAATACCTATGAGTTACTGGGTAGTCATTCGTGCAGAAAAGCCTATAGAGGGCGCGCAGAGTTCTTCGTACCTTCTGAGGCTTAACGAAGAAAGTATTGAGCCATTGCAAAAAATGGACAATAAGCTGCTCTTTTCGGGGTGAGAACAGCGAAACTAAAAATATTCCGCTCCAATGAGCCGATTCCAGAGGCTGCTATCGAGGAGGCCAACCAGATGTTGGGCGATATAAATCTCAAGTCTACCGCGGACGAGGAGGTCGCTGAAGGTGCCAACCAGGTGCTGGCAGGCACAGAGCCAGTTAACAATGCCGATAAAGTCGATGAAGGTGGTCCAGGCAAATCTTAGGCACTCTAAGGCTGTCTCGGACAAGCTCCTGGTCTTCCTAAGGGAGGAAGACGTCGACATCTCGTTGATACAGGAACCTTGGGTAAGAGACCTAGAGGTTAAGGGACTCACCGGCGCCCGCTATAACCTCTTCTACACTAGTATATCAGGTAAACCCCGCGCGTGTGTATTGGTTAAAAAACATATTAAAGCTTTATTATGTTCCAATTTTTATCTCACCGGATACTACAGTCGTCAACCTGGAGTTGATGAATAAACAAAGCTGTCTTATATCATCAGTATACATGGCGCACGACAGGGCGTGTCCGCCACAGGAAGTCGTCACTTTACAAAGCGTAGCAGGAGCTAGTCCAGTGTTATTAGGCTGCGATGCCAATTCACGACATACATTATGGGGCAGCTCGGAAACCAACGAAAGAGGTGAGCCGCTATTTAAATTTATTATTGATTCTACGTTTAGGATTTGTAATAGAAGTAGTACCCCCACTTTCATATTTCCTAGTGCCCCTGATTTTGCGGTTGGGAAGAGGTCCTAGACCTAACTCTGCTGACCGAGCGGAGCCTAAAGGTCCATAAATGGAGAGTATCCGACGAAGAGACCCTCTCGGACCACCGTCAAATACTCTTTGAGCTAAATATTGCGGCGAATACGCCTACTCCCTTAAGAAACCCTCGTGAAACAGATTGGGACTTCAAAAGGTTATTGGAAAAGAACTGAAGAAACTACCAGTTGAAGACATTCCTACAAGGGGCGTGCTGGACGCCAAAGCGGACAGCCTGAATAAGGCCTTCGGAAGGGCCCTTACAAAGGCTTGTCCGCTGAGGTATGGCAAGAAAGCGCGCACACCTTGGTGGAATGAGAACCTTACAGCGCTACGGAAGTAAGTAAGAAAATCCTTCAACGAATGCTACAGGATTAACGTATGAGACGTATACAGAGAGAACCTAAGGAAATACAAAAACGCGATACGGGACGCCAAGGAGGCGTCCTGGAGAGAATTTTGCGAATCCATCGAGGATACCAAGGAATTTGCGAAATTAAGCCAAATCCTTGCCAAAGGGCACTCACAGCCAACATATATAAAAAGGTCAGATGGTTCATGGACGGAGTCGGCTGGGGAGTCGCTGGATATCCTTCTGAATACACATTTTCCAGGGTGCAAAATCGATTTAGTAGAAACCGATGCCCCAGGCCATATACCAACCCTCTCCGAGGACCTCTTAAAGGAGCTACTAGAGAGGGAAAAGATAAAATTTGATATCTTCAGCTTCTCACCCTATAAATCATCGGGTATGGACGGGATACTACCAGTCATGCCTCAGAAAGCTTCTGAGATGGTCATTCCAGTTCTATAAACAATTTTTAGAGGGTGCCTAATACTGAACCACGTTCCGTTAAGTTGGAGGAAGATTAAGGTAATTTTTATTCCTAAAGCGGGCAAACGGGGCCATGACAATGCTAAATATTTCCGACCAATAAGCCTAATGTCCTTCGTGCTCAAGACGTTTGAGAGGCTGTTGGATCTGTATGTTAGGGACAAGGCGTCCAATTTATCATGCTCTCAACATGCGTACTTGAAAGGGAAGTCAACGGAGACTGCCCTACATGAAGTGGTACGTACAATTGAGAGGTCGCTCTACTATAAACAATTTACAATGGCGTCCTTTATATAAACCGAGGGGGCATTTAATAATGCCAGTGTAGATTCCATCCATCGGGCACTTATGGAAATGGCGATTGATCACTGTGTCCGGGCTTGGATAGTGTCTCTGCTAAGGAGCAGAGTAATACATGCCGAATTGGGGTACCAAAGCAGGGTCGTATATGCAGTGAGATGCACCCCACAGGGAGGAGAGCTATCGCCGTTACTATAGCTCATGGTCTTAAACAAACTACTGGTAAAGCTGGACTCTCAGAGAATCAAAGCGGTGGCTTACGCCGAAGATGTAGCGATATTGATATCGGACCCCTAGGGGTCCACCCGAACCACTTTGGAATCCCTGTAGTATACGGAAAATTTAATTTTTTTTAGAATAACGTCTTGTCCGGCTATTTGGTATACATGTATGTAGAGATATGAATTTAAAAAATACATTAGATTTTAGTTGAGATATTCGCCTTTGACCACTATGTTCTGTAAATTTCCAAGTACTACAAAGCTTTTGCCATTATTCACTTGGAAGAGGCCAGAAGTGAATTGTTTGCTTACGGTTCAAATCGCAGCTCAATTCGCAAGCATATTTATATCCACGTATCCCCTGGGTATAGACCAAATACTCTTTTCGGAGCGAGATAATGTGACAAGACGTATAACCTCGCGTGCGCTGGGTTCAGGTCCCTGCACGTTGAAACACCACCCAATGGAAAAAAACATGCCTCGGACGATACCCCCTTCTTTCGATGACGATCACGGCAAACGTAGAAAGGGCTATGATTTGAGGGTATGCACCTGGAGTATCCGGACCCTTAATAGGGATGGCGCCTCTGCTCGGTTGGATGATGTCCTCGGCCAAATACAGCGTGGCGACGAATAACTGCTACCTAGGTTTTTTGAGATATAAAGGGGTCCTTTATAGATTTTGCGAAAAAAGAATTTTATTGTAAATTTTCCACAGATTTTACTTTAGTTACATTAATTGGTTTTTAAATTTTAATCCTTATTTACATTTGCCAGCAGTATAAACTTTGAGAGAAAAGTTCATTTGGCACGCAAGTCTTTTACAGGTGTATTT